TACCCTTGAAAAAAAAGTGTGGTATTCGAATCGACTGATTTGAAGGATGTTTTACATCACCTTAAGATCTAGTCACTAGTAATTAATTTCGCCTAGAAATTAAATTTTTCGCTCAGTGTAGCCGTATATCGTATCCTTTTTAGAGAATGGAGCGTATTTCACAGCTCGTGCGATAACGTTTGATATTATTTTTTCACAGCGTGGTCGCTTCGTCGTCTCGTTTTTTTCCCTCGACATGTTCGCATCGCCGATGGTTGAATATAGAAAGACAATATTTCATCGCCCCTCTGGCATCGTTTAGAATTACAGAACGCGATTAACATTCGTCTTCGACAAACCAGGCACCTATCATCGTCCTGGAAATGCGTATTCCGATAAGACCTGTTACCTAAGAGGAAATTGATCCGGCGACGGGTTCTCGGTAACAATGAATAATAATCGCCGATGCATTGAAATCTATTCTTCTCTTACATTTTTTTTCCACCGTTCGATTGTCAGAGCGACGAGTACTCTGTCTTCGGTTTTTCGGGCAATAAGTTGACATAAGTAACGAGAGGATGAGTGACGTCGACGACACTTTAGGGTGGCTCTTATTTACTCTTGATACAATTCTTATTTACGATTTTTTTCGCACTAACTCCCCGATTAGGTTCTACTTTATGTAGAAATAATTTGTGTCAGATTCGACCTTAATAGGACAAAGAGAAAGAGTCCTTGGGCCCTTTAAGAGTAATAGCAGTAAAGTTGAAAAAGTGTAGTTTGTCCTGAAATCACAGATGGCGCAGGGGGTTCCACTGTCAATTAATGTAGTTTTAAACCTCAAAAATGTGCAAAACAACGATGCGGTACGAAATGAAATAAAGTTAGAACATTAAATATCGATGCATTTCGTTTTTGTCTTCTTCTTTGGCTAATTTTTCATTTGTTCCCAGGCAACTCATGAAGTGGAATATACGTAAATTAATCGTATAAATTAGGTCTATAGGTATAGCAAATGTATATCGTCTATCATTCACCTAAAATAATATCTAAAGGATATATATATNATATCTAAAGGATGTATATAAATATCTGTCTATTGTAGATGAAAATTATATATCTACTATTGATCTACAAATATCTACTAATTTCTTGACGCATACAAAATATATAATAGCTCTAGTAGACATCCACCAAAGGTTAATCGACGTCGTTGAAAATACATTTAGGAAAATAAAAAGACACCTCATGTAACCTAACATTTTTCATACATACTTAACGTTTATATATAAATTACAACTTGATAAAACTCCATACTCTGCCAGTCCATACTCTGATTTTTTATTTACTTCCTCTTTGGCTGGTGACCATACATCATCATTTTTTACCACCGTGTAAATTATGATCTATTACCAGGCACCGTATGAAGTATAATATACTTATAGTGGGCGTACAAATTACGACATAAGTATAGAAAACACACTATCTATGGTGTGTACAATACATTTTTCTGTATGAATTTAATTTTTTTTACAAATATGTATGAATATCTATAGACCATCTATTGTAGATATCTAGGATATATATACGTATTACGTACCATATCCGAACATCTAGTCTTTGAGAGTATCTAAAATAGAGTTCATATATGTACCCATAATTATGAAAGTGGTCTAAGTCATATATTTTTTGTTTCGAAATTACATTGAATTAATTTCGTTTGAAATAATATAGCGTGAAATAACTGATAAACTCATTTTTTTTAAATTTTGACTTAGACCACTTTCATAATTATGGGCACACATGTGTATATGTGTGTGTGTGTGTATATATATAGTGTTAACCCAGGCACCGCAGAACGTGGAATGTATATATATATAATCTTACATAAGTTCAGTAAACATTTATATACGATTAATTTACGAATATTCCACGTTCTGCGGTGCCTGGGTCAACACTAGAACTACCAAGACCGGTAAAAATGACTGGTTTCAAATGACCCATCGTACGCAAAAAAAAAAAAGAAAAAAAATCCGTCGGTAATTCTAGTGTTAATCTTTCCTCCCGAATAGTGCAAACATTTCATACAAAACTGACGAAATAAAATATCGGAATAGGAGAATTTGACATTCAGGCAAGCAAATAGTTTTCACCAGCTTCTCCGTCATTTTCACCTCCGTGCGACGTGCCGAAGCGAGAGAGCCTTTCTTATCGGCGAAAAGGCGTCCTGGCCGATTTCTCTACAAAATTTTGAAAATATCTATAAAGAGATTTTATTTAAATTGAAATTTGATGGATGTCAGGATCTTCCTTATAGCCTCCGTATTGGCATTATCAAGTTTGAAATGATTCGGTACATCCGGTTCAGAGAAAAGTTCCATAAACGAGACCTCTTTGACGTCACTTTCGTATCACCTTAAGGTGATATGAAACAGTCATTCCATATATAAAAATGTGAAACTATTCATAAAATTTGTTTCCAAACTGAGTATACCGAATCATTTGATTCTTCTGCACGTGATTATGAAGAAATAGGTTTGACCAGCTTCTCCGTCATTTTCACCTCTGTGCGACGTGCCGAAGCGAGAGAGCCTTTCTTATCGGCGAAAAGGCGTCCTGGCCGATCGATAAGAGCGCGAGACAGCCGAGTAACCTACAACCGCGAGCCACGGATCCTCCCGCAGAAGGAATGCCCCTTCGCCAAGAGGGCCGAAAGGAGTCCTCCTTATCGACGTGACGTTCTCGAGGGTTCCTAACCCCTTCCACTCGGAAAACAAGGGAAACAACACCTCCAGCGCGGCCCCCGGGAGCCGGTCGACCCCGTTCGGTCGAGATTCGCGCAGCTACGTCCCGGGAAATTGAGCCGTACGCGCAGGGTTGCCAACATCGCTTCTGTTTACTCCAGGACAGTCGGGTTATAGTAACATGACAATGACCAAGAGAATGACGGTACAACTTAAGAGGTTTAAATGCCCGAACATTAGAATGAAATTTATTCCCCGTATCTAAAAGGAAATGCAATTTGAAATAATAAAGGTAAACAATTGATAATATAGAATGTATCTATTTATAACGCTCGTTTGTAGTGTTTCGCTAGTCAACCGGAAATTGAACACGCAGGAAATACTAATGCCGAAAGTGGACTGGCATTAAGGTGAAGTGAAACCCCCTTCAAATCAATCGATNTATAATTCGACCCAGCTGTCGATATAAAAACCAACGTCGGCAACGTAGGCATTTAGAAAAATCTTTTCCATCGACGTCGATCAAGTTCCTCGACGTGTTTCACTTCACCTTAAAAGCTGAACGGCTTAATTAAGTTCTCGATTTTAACAAGGCATAAGGGTCTTTCAGAACAAAACGAAGGATATAAACAAAGTTATCCATCGATAGGGACAAAGTCGTCCGCGGTTAGATTTCCTACTGAAATGATAGTAAAATTCCCGTGGTATTATTGTTCCAAAAATGCATAGTATGTGTGCCTATAGAGCTTATAAACCCGGAGGAAACATTGGTACATTACGTGCACCCGGTTAGATATTAGTAAGTTAACCACTTGCACTGGAAAGACGTGCTACATACGTCGAGAATCTATCAATCTGTGATTTAGCTGCCAGCGCAAGTGATTAAACAGATAAACTGACTTCTCTCTCTAAGTTATTACCGGAAGTATGCTGCGCGCGCACAGGAGTATCGATACCCGAAATTTAACCGACAGGATGAATGGCAGAAAACATGCGACGATCCTGATTGTAAGAGTTCCTTACATTGAATGAATATTAATATTAAGTTTACTGCATCTTTTCTTTACTTCATCTTTAAATAACATTAAGTTTACTGCGTTTTTTCTTTACTTCATCTTTAAATAATATTAAGTTTACTGCATCTTTTCTTTACTTCATCTTTAAATAACATTAAGTTTGCTGCATCTTTTCTTTACTTCATCTCTAAATAATATTAAGTTTACTGCATATTTCTCCATAGTTTTTTCGTATCTATGCCAAAATAGGGCAGTGACAACAACATGCTACAGTATATGCCACCCTTGGGCAGGAAAGACTTCCGGTAACCCTTAGAAAGAAAAGGGATCTCTCCGTCTAACCTCAGTCTCCATGTTTACAAGTTCGAGTACATACACCGGTAGAGTTCTAAATCCAGTAAGTTACGTCAGAAACGAAGAGAAATTCCCGGTAACTTATCGGTCATTTCTCCAAAGCCTTTTTTATCGAGAAATTATGAGAATTTGAATTTTTCAACAGAGCGAACGAGAGGCTTCGATTAGCTATAGAGAAACATCGTAGAGGGGCATTTCCGTTGTACGTTCTCCGTAGCCAATCAAAACCTCCCATTCGCTTCGTCCCAGAATGAAATATCAGTTCGTTTGAAACAAATGGCATGGAATTTCCCGTGAAGGTGTACATACGTGAATATTTTTAGCTGGAATTAAATACGACCCTATAATCAATATTTTCTAATAGTAATTATTACTCTTTAGCTTGAACTTTGAAGTTGATTGAAAAAAAAAAAGTTATTTAAACGAAGAAACCTAAAGTATAAATAACAAAATGAACGTTCTCTTAAATTCTCAATGTTCCCGGCAACTTACGGTATGTTTCCCAGTTACCTTCTCCAATTTAATGTTACCGAGAATTTTCGAACTCTATACACCGGACCGAAATAATAGGACAAATCCTAGAACAATAAGGTTGGCAACACCGCTTAACGCGGTTCGATGGGAGCTCGCGAACCGGAGCGCCCCCATTGGCGGAGCGCGCTCGCCCGAGCGGCGCGCTGATTGGCCGAGGCCGGTCGCGGGGCGCTCCCATTGGCGCAGCCCGCTCGGCCGAGGTCGGCCGCAGCCGTGCCGACCGAGTCAGATCGGCTCGGGCCGTCCTGCCGTGCCGACGGCGGATCGGCCGGCGTGCCGGCCAGGGTCGAGCGGCGACAATTGCGTCACGGGCCGCGGGGGGAGGGGGGAGGCGGAGAGACCCGGGCGCGCCGGGTGCTCACCGGGTGCTTACCTCGGGATCGTGCGAAGGTCTCGCTGTCTGTCCTTGCCGTCCGCGCTGGTGAACCAGATCTCGAGGAGCTTCTCTACGCCCTCGAAAAACTGCACGCTCTCCGCGCCGTCGTCCTTGGGGGCCGCCATCCTCTCGCACCGGCGAGTGTGTATACCCGTGCTCTCTCGACTCGGCGTGGCTCTTCCTCTAGCTCCTGCTAGTCGCTTCGCTGTCTCTTTCCCTCTCTCTATATATCTATCTATCTCTCTCTCTCTCTCTCTCTTTCTCGGTGAGCGATGTAACTCGTGGCTCGGCACCGACGCGCGCTCTCCGCGAAACGACGTACCTCGATGTACTGAAGGAAGCACCAAACAACCGGAGGCCGGCCCCTTACCTCTCGCTTTATCCGCGGCGCATCCCTCGTCCTCCCTCTCGCTCTCTCTCGCGCTCCACCGCGGTGCCACCTCCCGAGCGCCGCCGGCATTCCGACGGCCAATCGCGGCGAGCCGCCCGCGCATGCGTGCCGCGCGCCGATTTGAATCGGGGCCGACGGTTGGATTAGAAAATTCTAGATAATACTGAATTCTTAGGTGATATGAAAGGCACTGAGAGATATAATCGACGTCGATGAATTAAAATTCATCTGTGCTCTTTTTGGTGATAACGACATTTTTAAGGTGACGTGAAACCCCCTTCAAATCTGTCGATTCGAATACATTTTTTTTTAAGGTTATTAGACCAAACTGTCCGAAACTTTGACACATCACTCCTCATCATCTAAGAATTGTCCTGACACATTGAAAATTTGGATTTTTCAAACAAATTTTTTAACTTAGTCCAGACCAGAACAAAATGGCGTCGAGCTCTCATATTTCGATCAATATACAATTGTCGAAGGCTCTGATATGAGAATCGAAAGTGTCAGGACAATTTTACGACAATTTAGAACACTCTGGTAATCGATAAACTCGCATTTGAATGGGATAAAGGCAAAAAAGTGTCTTATGCGCTGCTGTGCTAAAACGATGGTAATACGAGGTCTCGGAGAGGAAACTTAGTTGACACTAAAATCACAGATGGCGTAAGATGGCCGTCAGCACTGAATTACAATAGACCCGGGGGATTTCTGGAGTTTTACTTCGATTGCTTTATAATTGTTGTAAATGGAAACGATATAAGGAGTATGCCATTTAATACAATACCCAATATAATTCGACTCAGCTGTCAATATAAATCCGAATGTCGGCGACGTGGGTATTTAGAAGAATCTTTTTTACCGACGTCGATCAAATTTCTCGACGTATTTCACTTTACCTTAATGTATTTGGCGCGAAACACTGCCGAATTTCCTGATACAGAAAATTGGGGAAATCAGGGAAATTCATCTCGCTCAATTTTAACCTTACCGAAGACTTATATTGAATGCCAAGAGTAAATCCTCGTCTTTGGACTACTGATTTGCCAAATACATTTTCATTTAAGTAGACGATAGGAATGTACCTACAATTACAGGATAAATGGCGTACACTGGCGAAAATAACGAAGAAGTTAATCAAAAGTATTAGTTTAAAAGAGTTTAAAATTAGTTGGTGACACGTATGTACATAGAAAACAAAAGTGTACATAAAAACAGTACTTTATGTAATTCCGTTTCAAGAAATACATTTGCCCAAACTCGGAATAAAATTGTTTACCCTACAACCAGATACTATATATTGATACGACTGTCGATTTTAGACTAACACAGGGAACCATACATGACAATTAAGGGGATGTGAAAGTGGCATTCGAAAGATTAATCGTTCATGAAACTTTTCACCGAACTGGGTGTACCGAATCGTTTCACACTTTACAAAGTGTATATGGAAGCTATAAAGAAGGTCCTGACTCTTATCAAATTTCATTTTCTCTACAAAATTTTGAAAATATCTATAAACAGATTTTTTTTTAAATTGAAATTTGATGGATGTCAGGATTTTCCTTATAGCCTCCGTATTGGCATTATCAAGTTTGAAATGATTCTGTACATCCGGTTCAGAGAAAAGTTTCATAAACGAGACCTCTTTGACGTCACTTTCGTATCACCTTAAGGTGATATGAAACAATCATTCTATATATAAAAATGTGAAAGTATTTATAAAACTTGTTTCCAAACTGAATATATGGAATCATTTGATTCTTCTGCACGTGATTATGAAGACCCTAAGAAAAAACGTGATGCTCGTGAAATTTCATTTTCACCCCAAAAAAATGTTTTATTTATTCTAGACTAGAACGAAGATCACATTTTTCTTGTGAAATATGAAATTTCACGAGCATTGCATTCCTTCTTAGGGCCTCCATGATTACGTGCTGAAGTTTCAAATGATTCGGTTTCAATTATTCGGTTTGGAGGAAAGTTTCATAAACATTTTGAGGTTTTATATATACAAAATGTCCCTTTCACATCCCCTTAAGCTCTCATTCCTTCGGCAATAAATGCTCGAATGGCCCATGAATCCGACCTGGCTGTGAATAATCCCAGAATCTCTATTTATTCTTTTTTTTTACAGATTTTTCGTCCCTTTCGCCATTACGCAGCGTAAGTTGAAATTCTTAAGTTTAAGGTGATATGAAAGGTCCCTTCTATACACATGAAACGTGAAAATATTTATAAAACTTTCCTTCAAACTAGGTGCACCAAGTCATCTGAAACTTCAGCACGTGATTAGGAAGCCCCCAAGAAAGAACGTACGCTCGTGAAATTTCATTTAATAAAAAAATGTTTTTATTTAGCCTAGACTGAAACAAGATCATATTTTTTTTTTGTGAATAATGAAATACCACGAGCATCGCGTTCTTCTTTGGGGCTTCCGTAATCACGTGCTAATGTTTCAAATTCTTTCATGCACTTAGTTTGGAGTAAAGTTCTATAAACATTTTCACGTTTTAAGTATATAGAATGACCCTTTCATATCACTTTAATTCTTTCCGCCCGGAGGTTTCCCATTCCTACTGGCAGCGGTCCACCTCTTGGGCCTGCCCATTGACTTGGCCGGCAGCCCCTTCCTCTTGGGTATCCATTTCCCTTTCTTCTGAGTGACAGAAATCCTTCCCTTGGGTGTCCATTTCCCTTTCTTCTTAGTGGTAGAAATCCCTCCCTTGGGTGTCCATCTCCCTTTCCTCTTGACGACGGGGATCCTTCCCTTGGGCTTCACCTTTAGCTTGTCAACCAGCCCATCCTCGGTCATGGGCTCGATGATCTTGCCCAGTTTCATTCCACTTCACCATCATCAGCCTCATTTCATATCACTTTAATTCTTTCCGCCCGGAGGTTTCCCATTCCTACTGGCAGCGGTCCACCTCTTGGGCCTGCCCATTGACTTGGCCGGCAGCCCCTTCCTCTTGGGTATCCATTTCCCTTTCTTCTGAGTGACAGAAATCCTTCCCTTGGGTGTCCATTTCCCTTTCTTCTTAGTGGTAGAAATCCCTCCCTTGGGTGTCCATCTCCCTTTCCTCTTGACGACGGGGATCCTTCCCTTGGGTTTCACCTTTAGCTTGTCGACCAGCACATCCTCGGTCATGGGCTCGATGATCTTGCCCAGTTTCGTCTTCACAGCCGGATGTGTCAGCCTCTTGTGCGCATTTTCGGGCACGAAATTCCTGCCAAGAGGAGCGCGAATACTCGCCTCGAAGTCCTGAACGCTGCCGAACGGGAATGGCAGCTCGTTGACCTGGTGCTGCCTCACCTGTTCCTCGGCACCCTCGACGATGATCACGTCGCCCTTATTCTCGTCTCTGCGCGGCGCATCTTTCGGGAATTTCATGATAAACTGCTTCTTCTTCCGTTTGGAGACCGCCACGTCTTTTCCGCCCCAGGATCCCCACCCAGGCAGAGTGAGGTCGACGTCTTCCGGCTGGGACTTCTTTACCTACATAAAATAATAATATCATTTCTTACAATAAATTGCTCTTTAACAGTGATATGATAGTGGCATCCAAGAGGTCGACAGTATACGAAACCTTTCTCCGAAGTGGAGACATTACGATTACCGACTTACGGTAGACTCCTGTTTTACCCTTTTAGTGCCGGAAGCCGATATATCGGCCCGCACCTTGTAGCGCTTTACTATTCGCTTTGCGAGAGATCTCTATCTCAAAATAAATTTATAATACGTTATAAATAGTCTAATTTCATTACGAGAGAATTAAAATAACGATACAACACCTATAACAACCTATAACCTACATGTAACAACCTATAACCTATAACAATGACTTGTTTCGGATGAGATAATCCGTCCGGCGCCTCCCATGTGCCTTGGAGTTATTTTTTATGTTTCTTGTGCAATATTGCTTATTTTGTTAAAAAATATATTGGAAATTTAAAGTATATACTTTGCAATAAACGGTCTATATAAATTTATGATAAAAAGATGACTTTTCCTATGTGCAATTACGTTTTGAAACGGAGAACTCAATTTTTCTTTTTTTTTTCGATCACTTTTACCTTTGTTATTTATGTAATTTTCAATGAATATAGAAAAATTAGCGTCACTGTTTTATTCTCTATTTTGTCCTTAGTACCCTGCTTTTTGAATTATGTAAATGTTGGTTTTCGTTTGGTTTTTATGAGCGTTTACCCAAATCCTAGTAAAATCGTAAAATTCGGCCGGTTATCTTCGCATAAGCACCTCTTTTTCGCCCGGCACTAAAAGGGTTAAACAAGTCTAGGGTGAAGCAAGTCAACGAAAAAAGGGGCCTTTCTTGGCTCTTGGGTGAATCACTAGTCCAGAATAAACCATTATGTTATCACTTTGACGTTAAGCATAACTTATGCCTATTCCTACCTCTTCCTCTTTTTCTTTTCTGAATTCGTCCACGACGTCGTCGTCGGCGAAGGCCTCGCTTATTATTTTATACCGCTCCTCTTCCTCCTCGCTGTCATCCAACGCATCCTCTCCTCCAGTTATCATATCGGGTAACTGAGACATCATATGCACAGGTTTCGCCTTGATGAACTTATTTGGATCGATTTCTGCCTCTTTCGTTTTCGCTTTGGCATGGCTGAAGTCACCGTTTGCCATTGCCTTTGGTTTAGCTGCTTCTTTGCTGTCTCGAGATTTCATTCTTCCAGGTAACTCGTCCAACTGTTCATCTATTACCGGCCTAATCCTCTGTTTTTTGAATCCAAGATCTCCAGAGTATCCTTCGTCCTCCGAACCATCTTTCTCCTCAACCTCATCGACGTCATCGGAAGCATCCATCTTCCTCTTGAGCTTCTTCAGTTTATCGTTGATTTTATCTTGCAACTTGTTCTCCACGTCGTTGATCATGCTGTTGCGTGGAAGCAAATTGTTCTTCACGTAACTCTTCATAGGCGTGACAGACCAACTGGATGTGCCTGGCGAAGCCCTCACCGCTCTTTTACTTATGACTCCATTTAGTTTCCTTTTAGATTTTGTCTCTGCTGAATTTTTCGCTGACTCGGCCGTTTTCTTTTTCTGTTCTGATACTTTCTTACTGGAGGAACAGCTGGATTTTTTGTTAACACCTATAAGTTAAAAACAAAAATAGCTTGCAATATCTCAATCTTACGAAACCGGGTTTTGTGCAACTACGTGGCCTACCTTTCTTGGTACTTACCTTTCTTTTTAACGGGTTTCCCATGATTCTTGTTTTCTATTATTACCTCTTCTACTGGATTCAATGTAACAGCTTCCTTTTTCGCCTTTTCGGTGTTGCTTTTCTTACCAGGTTTATCATTAGTTTTATTTTTGTCACTCTCCTCCTGATTCTGTTTCTCTTCCTCTTCCTTTTTCTTTCCATCCCAATACCTACGATATCCACTAATAAAGTCATCGATTTCAGATTTGGTCTTAGTTCCATTTGTCATCCATGGATTATCCTTATCCATGGCTGAAACTGGTATAGATAATTCTTCTTCTTCTTCTCCTTCGTCTTCACTGTCCTCGTCTTTCCGAATCTTCTGCGTCAAGTCTCGACTAACGGCCAATTGTTCGGCAAGTGCCTGCCGACTCTGAGAAAAAGATATAATTATGAATTATCCCTTAAAGTTTAATCGTACAAATGTTTTCTTCTACAAGGGGTGCTGGAATTTGATGGTACTTGATATTCCGAAGTAATTCAACTTACCTCTTTATCGTACTTTGCTCTAACTTGTTTACTTTTAGCCCACTGGCCAGTACTTTTATGCCTCAGAGACATTCTCTCCTCTGCTCTCGTTCTATCCAACTGCTCCAATTTTTCAAGAGCGGCTCCAGGATCTATCTTTTGAAGCTCTTCGAATTCCTTTATTTGCTTCTTAATCTTCTCCTTTCGTTGAACCCGATGGAATTTTTTACTCTTGATTTTGTTCTGGCGAAAAGCTTTCGCTTCTCTATACGACTAAAATTAATGAGACATGTAATCGTGATCTAAATGGCAGAAACAAGTACATTATTATAACGAACCAGAGACCGATTTATTTAGTACAACTTACAAACCTGCTGAGCTCTTAATTTTGCAGCTTCGTTCCTTCTTTCCAGGATTTCCTGCAGTGTTGCAGAAAATTGGTCATCTTTTACTTCAATTTCTGGTTTCTTTGGTTCTAATTCCGCAAGCTCTTTCTCCAATTCAGACTGAATTCGAAATCTGTTAAAAAAATATGTAGTGCCTCCTAGACCCATTGATGGCTGGGAAAGTGGAAAGGTCATTCGCTCCGCCGTTCGGTTTCTGGCGATTATCGCGTTCCATTTCTGCAATTCCTCCTTGACGTTATCAAAGCCGAGCTTTCTCTTTATCTGTAAGAAAATAATAAATCACGCCTGTGAATCTGTAACCAATTTATACTTAAGTTTATTCTAAATTCATATGTTTGGGTAATCCTATATCGACTCCAAAAGTGTTTCAGTTTTTTTAGATTTTATGTATAGACGAAAATCTTTTTCATACTCTTTCAGCGGCAGGTTTTTCCAATGGTTTATACAAAAGATGCGCCTTGCTCTGTGTTGCTTTGAGTTTCTTGGTAAGCTCGATATTACGTCCTTTCCGAACTAAACTATTTGCCAAGCTCTGCACATGAATTCGATGTCGACGCGGCACTCCACTTCTAACCAAATGGAATTCTGAAACTTCTAAACTAGGCTCGCTTCTCACTGGCTGCTTAACTCTGGAAAACAAAATAAATATCTCCAATTAACACGAACTTCACTGAAATAATACAAGAAACCGGTTTCACTAAAAAAACGAAGTTTATTAATTAATGCATTCGGTTAACTAATACCTTTGTTTGTCGTTAAGTTTTAACGCAGGCTTAAGGAGTTTGTCATGGGTTGTAGAAACCTCCTGGTTGATTGCACGTTCCATTTCGTCGTCGCTCATTGCAATATAATTCCGGGTAAAATACTTACAAAATGACCGACCTCCACGGTGCCGATTTTTAGGTTAGCTCACGTGTCTCCACCACTAAAATATATAGTAACCTAGAACCATAGACACGAGATACATATGGACTGGCGACTCCCCAACCCCCTCCACAAATTATTCCAGTAGTTCCGAAGCAAACCACCGTAACGCTAACGGACCACATCATTTTGCGCGGGGTATTCAAAACTTTATTTTTCTAAATTACATTATTTTCTACATATATGAAACAGATGTAAAGTAAAATAAGTTTATCAAATGAACTGATTTTCCTTTAGATATGTTTCCCTTAAATATAAAATCAATTTATTTAATAAACTATACATTTTATAACACAGGAATTTGTCCGCAAATTGCAGCAAAAATGTCCAGATTGATTTGAAATCAACTTGTGTAACTTCAATACCCGTAAGCAGGCGTACACCGGCATTCATCGATAGAATACATACCTTAGAATTTACTGCTTCTATATTACTTAACTTACGCAAAATTAATACCCACATCAATAATTACAAAAGCTGAATTTGCTGTTTGGTTAAATTCATAAATTGCGTTTAATTAAAGCTTGTTGGTTGGGAGTCTCTGTATATACTTTAAATGTCACGATAGAACCAATGAGAGAAGCGGTTTTCTTGGATTCCCATTGGTTAACGCTTCGACGTTACTCGTTATGTTCTTAGCGAGGGGTCTTGTCCATTTATTCGACGAATACGAAGAATGGTGTAGAACGTAAATATATAAGAGGCATGAAATCACGATTTCGTTTCTATATCCGATAGATGATGCATCGTAAATTTTCCGACGGTATTTCACTGTATATATATGTAGAAACCATGTCTTTTAAGTTAAGATAATATTTTAACTTCGGTTCAGTGAATGGAACAATTGAAGATGATTCCGTTGAGTTCCTCTTCCTTTGCTGAATTCCTCTCCCTCCGTTGAATTCCTCTTATTTCGTTTAATTCCTCCCTTCATTGAATTTCTTTTCTTTCACTGGACGATATTCAACTCATAGCACCCGCGGATCGTGATCACTCGCGTCCTAACCTCATTGTCTTTTCGTCGGTTCGGACACTGCGCGTCCTCTTATTTCACTGAATTCCTTTCCCTTTATTGAATTTCTTTTATTTCATTGGATGATATTCAATCAATTGCACCCGCGGATCGCGATCACTCGCGTCCTAACCTCACTGTCTTTTCGTCGTTTCGGACACTGCGCGTCCTCTTCTCTTGCTGAATTCCTCTCCCTCCGTTGAATTCTTCTTATTTCGTTGAATTCCTCCGTCGATTGAGAATTATTGCAACTATATTGATCTTAATTTCGATCGTAATACGTAGTACGTCCCTCGCGACCCCCCATTTTCTTAATTTCCGATGACACCTTTCCTCCGCAAATTTTGAGGAGCAACTGGCGAGCCGCCGGCTGGCCCGCGATCCCCGGCCTCGACGCTGCTCCGTGATTGGTCGATTCTTTATCGGGCCGGTGACGTCATCCAATCACGTGGGGATTACTCGAAAGNCCTCCGTCGATTAAAAATTATTGTACTATATTGATCTTAATTTCGATCGTAATATCTGGTACGTCTCTCACGCCCCCCCATTTTCTTAATTTCCGACGACACGTTTCCTCGGCAAATTTTGAGGGGCAACTGGCGCGCCGCCGGCCGGCCCGCGATCCCCGGCCTCGACCCTGCTCCGTGATTGGTCGATTCTTTATCGGGCCGGTGACGTCATCCAATCACGTGGATTACTCGACAGGACCCATTTTCCTTGAAGTCAAAGAGGACAGTTAATCAAAATAAACCTGACTGGACTTGTGATAAGGAATGCGCAAAAGATGTTTATTACCTCTCGTTTATTCAGCGTTATCTGCTGCGAACTGCTTCCCACGTCGGCCTTTTATCTTTACCGACGCAGCGGAGAACAGAAAACGCCGTCTTGAAGCGTCAGTTGATAATGTAGGATGACTGCACACTCTCGACGAATGAGAAGCAACGTTCCGTTGTAATTTTTTGATGAACACATTTTAGTAGATACGACGATGGGTATAGATGCGTGTACTCGGGAAATAGTACGGTAGTCGACGGATGAGCGGCGCTATGATCTTTTTCCAGGGATAAGAGCTGGGCTTCTATATTCGCTACTATGGAATATCTGAATTTTTGGCTTTATCTTTGGTTTTGATTCTGGAATTGTACAAGTTAAAGTACATGTTGAGAACATTTTAGAATTCTGTTTCTTGTAAAAGTTAAACGATTCTCATGGCCTCTCAGTATAAGTATGTTTTTGAAGTCTTGAAACATTGCATTGACTTTTTTAATTGATACGATTGACTGTTGGCACGCACGTGCTCTGCACGTGCATTATGCCGCATGTGCAATTGTTTGTTTTTAAAAAATTATGCCGGGTTCATTTCTTATACAATAATTATATTCATGAACGATAAGTATCATGTTCGGAGTGCAACGAGCTGAGAATATATTTTACCCAAATAAAAGTATAAAATATAAAATATTTGTTGTNGGGGCAACTGCTGGTCCGCCGTACCAGGCCGCGACCCCGGGCTTTCAGATTAGTCGAAACCGCTTTCTTTGTCATGCCGCCGACTCGCGCATGCTCGTAATCAAATCTAGCGGTCTCACTACCTGAGCCGTCTGGAAAAATCCAACGATCGCAGCCCAAAGAGCCGAGAAAAGGATGCATAGATAACGTGGATTACCGAGTTGGGCCGTTGTTGGGCGATATCAGATCGCAATGCCCGAACCGCCTGTATTCTCCACCGAGGGCAGCGCAAATGCATTCACGCGAGCCAGCCCATAGAGAGTCTCTCAACTCATCGCTATATTATTTTCTATGGACACCTTTCTCGGGAGTGCCCGGGACGGCCGGGACGACCGCCATATCTTACCGTTTCCTAGCGTGGTGCGTTGCCGGTGTATTATAGGCGAATCTGAATTTCCTCCGGAAAAAGAGTTTATGTTCCGACGCCCCAACGAATCGACTCGATCCTTCCCGTGAATCTCTCAACTCATCTCTGATTTGACAGAGATGAGTTGGGAGATTGCCATAATGGTAAGCTACCACCGTCAACTGCCGCATGGTATTACCATCACGAATACGTGAGCCACCAATGGCAACTGGTAGATGGCACAGCCATCGCGAGTGCGCGAGCCCCTACCAGAAATTCGTTGCGCCGCCCTTGGGGGCAAAAAACGGTGAAAGCTAACGTACGAAACCAGAGGGCAGCACACGATGCGATCGCGCGACCCTGCCCGTGAGCAATCTCCCAACTCATCTCTGTCACTATTGCTATGAATCGCGGCGGTGGCAACGCTGTGTAAGAAATCGTGTATAAATTGGGTTAAATAAGCTATCATTTAATTGTATGTATGTACTAAATAACTAACACAGCAAACCTTAAAAGGAGTAACACCGAAGGACAATAAGAGAACCAACAGTACTTCGGTTCGGCATGTCAATGATTTGATATTTTTCAAAAGAATTATTATTTTTAAACATTTATGTACAATCGTGCGCACAATTTATACGGCAAAATAAGTTTGTTCTTTTTGGTCTTAATTTGCATCATAGGTGCAAGCCGTTTTCGTCAAAATGAGCGATGACGAGCGTACTTTGTGGTGTGGAAATTTAAGCGATAAAGTAACAGAAGAAATACTATATGAATTGTTTTTACAGGTAAGCATGTATCCATGAACTACTTTTCATTTTATGTTTCTTCCTGAATCATCTACCATTGGAAATTTGCAATTGTGATTGAGTTTAACCATACATTGATACCGTTAGACTAATATCACATTTTCATGCCATTGTTTTAGTACTTTTATGTAGAATTTTGTAGTCGATGAAACCTTTTAGTATTGGATATTTTGAACGCTTTTAGTCTTATTACATATGCAAAATGTTCATAATCTAGAAAATGTAAATTGTAATACGAGTTAAAGTCTGTTTCTAAATTGGTGATACTAAGAAAAATATTGTAACATCTCATTACAGGGTGGCCCTGTACAGAGAGTTTCAATTCCAAAAGATCGTGACGGCAAACAAAGAAGTTTTGGCTTTGTTACATATAAACACGAGGAATCAATTCCTTATGCTTTAGATCTTTTCGAAGGTACGTCGCTATTTAGCCGGCCATTAACTATGAAAGTACGAAACAATGGCGAGGCTCAACAAACTCCTGCACAACAAGATGTTAGTCCAGATGCGTATCACTTATTGCAATTTGGTAACCAAATGATATCTGGTCTTATGTCTGGTGTAAATGTGCAAATGCTTGGAATGTGTTCTCCACCTGGTTTAATCACATATCCAAGCCAATTTCAGTGTTACTCGTACCCTGATAACATGAGAAATCACAGACAGCACCCATATTATCATGAGCAAGACCAAGAAAGGCACAACCGAGACTATAAGCATCGTAAGGACAAATATTCTTCTCATTCGTATTCCTCTCATCAGTCTACCAATTATAAGTATAATGGTAATCGAAATAAAAGAAATTATCATTAATTGATTCTAATGTAATTCCAATGAAAAGGTACTTGTAAGAACTATATAGTAAATTTTAATAATACTGTAACTAATAAATAGTAAACAGTTCCATACTAATTATTATGATTATATTAGGAAACTTAATATGGCCATTATAAAGATATTAAATGAGCCGTATGCATTGGTGTACGAATTTTAAGAAAATTATGTTATGTACATGCATAAAAAATAGACGTTAGTGGTTTCTTACTCTTGGAATAATAAATAAGATAAATTATTTTAAATCAATAATGCCAAAAGACATTTTCTTTAGTTTTCTCATGTTGCTTCATGTTAGAACTTATCCAACTACAATTGTTTAATACAAGACTATATAAAAATATTTTTACATAGTAGTTTTAGATGAATCAAAGTATGTAAATGACAATATATATTTTATTATAAATTGGATAATGAAAATGAAGACAAGATTGTTTGACGATGCTAGTGACCCATTGGATCGAATGTGACAGAAAGTAGGACAAGCAGGATTACACACAAATAGTTTCTCCCACAGATCGTACTGCTCACTATATCTGATACTGTGCAAACTGATGCTACTTTGAACTTCACAGATACTAAACGATTCTCTCTGGTTGACAAATTCGATAGCATCGACACGGTAGATCCCTAATTTACTTGCTACAATACCTGTTAGGAAAACATCTTCTAATTTTAAGAATGTCGTGCGAAGAGACTCTTCAAAGAGTTTATGGACAACATCGCTAGAGATTAAGTAAGCCGGACCGGTTAAAAAATTTGGAAACTGCGATGGCTCATAACTCATTATAGAAACGTAGTACTTATTGTTCCTTTCTCTGTGTGGTTTAGTATATTCAGAGAGTCTTCCAAATATTACATTTTTATATCGTATGTGAGCACGTACAAAGGCTAGAAGTCTTGGCATATTGATGAAGACATCGTCGTCGGTTTTCAAAACATATTTGGTTGCCCAACAATATTTGTCGACCCACTCTAGTATTGATACAGTTTTCAGAGTTAGATTCGTGTAGGTATCAAGAAAATTGGCACGTACAATATCATCGAAAGCGTTCTGCTCTTTCCTAAGCTTTTGCTCCAGCCAGACGTCATTGGTGGATCCCACAATGAATACAACTTTAACATCCTTTCTATGAGTAAATAGACCCCAAGTTTCTCGAACAGCTTTCCGTGCCAAATAATGATTGGGATCTGATAGTACCATTGCCACTACTTTCATTTGCTTGCCATAGTTTGGGCACTTCTTGGCAAGTGGCAAAGAAAATCCAGCTTGGTACATGTAACATATTAACATATTCTCTTGCAATGAAAATTGCACATTGTGAGAATTTTTTAACATTTTTGCAGTATCGTTTAATTGCGAAACAATGCTATTTGATTTATTCATTTTTTGTTGTTGAAGCAGTGAGATGTCTTTCACGTGTGACATAGGGTTAACGCAGCGTGCTACGTCATCTTGCGATGCTGTAATTTCAAGACTTCAAAGTTCACAATTCCATTTTCTCTAATGGCAAATGTTAAATTAGCCTTGTCGTTGGCACGAGAATTCCTACCTGCAGATACCTGGCGTTCACAAAGGATGTACCGAGTAATTTCATACATTAGGAGAAGATGGAAGAAGCAGCTGTAAGGAAAGTGGCACATGTCGTTGCAAATCAAAGTTTAATTCTTTACACTTGACATTTTGTCATCTTTCTGGGGATTGGCCGTTATTTTATCTTGATGGAAATATATCTTCGAGCGCGCGAGCAGCAAAGCCTTCAACATCAACTGAGATTTTTTGCAAACTGTTTATTATGTTTATCTCGTGATGTGCTTTTAATTAAACTGATGTTAATGCAATTATAGGTAATGACAATGCGTTTCTCATCACTGAAACTAGTGGGTCTAACAGCCACTAGTAGGAGTCGAAAATAGCTGTAATTATAAACAGAATGTTTTCTGAGCAACGTTAACGGAATTTGAGACAAATTTGACCCTTTTGTAATAGGTTTACGCTTTAGAGACGAAGAATGTTAAATCGCGTAAACACGTTTAACGCCACGATGCACACTGGAGAAAATGAAAAAGCTGGCCAAAACTTGAAAAATGAAACTTGTATTTCGGGATTATTGACAATCAGGTTGGTTTGGGGGGGAATTCGACATTCAAACCCGCCGCGGACGGTGCTTGTTTTTCTCATGGACGTAAAAATGTACACTGGACTCCATCGATGGCTTGCACCTGGTTCGCACTGCCCTCTCCGGCCGCGCAGCGTACTAGCGGCGGGAGCAGCGCGGAATTCGAATCGCTCGAGGGACAGAAAGGATTTCCTAAAGAAAATAAATATTTATAAACAAAA